AGAATAAACTTAAAAAAATGAATAAACTGAACATTTAGAAATAAGACAAGCCGAGAGCCAGGGAGACAGCTCAGCAGCATAAGTGCTTTCCTGGCAAGTGCAATGTCCTGAGTTTGATCCCAGGAAAGAAAAAAAAAATGTTTGGGCTAGTGAGATAGGTCAGTGGACTAAGTGCCTACTTAGGCAACGACAGGGACCAGGGTTCAATCCCTAGCACCACATGCCATGTTGGCCCCGCCCCCAGGCACACTGAGTTGGCCACAGAGTCTGGGTGTGGTACATGCCTGTTAACCCAGCACTGGGGAGACTAAAAACAGGAGAATCACTATGAGCCAGAGATACATAGGAAGACCCTGTGTCAAATACATTTTTTTTAAAAAAGAAAAGAAACAAGACAAGCCAGGACAACTCCCAAGTACATTCTGTGATTAGAACATACCATTGGTGCTTGCAGCAGTGTGGGGCTGACTCTGGAAGGTTCTAGAACGAGTGCCATACTGCCCTGAGAACTGCCCACTTTGGGGTGTTAGCTCATTCCACACACGTGAGGAAGGTGGGATGCTCTGAGGGGCCTCTGTAGAGGAGTTCAAACGCTGAGGCCAGACTAGATCCAAGTCCTGGGGTTCTTCTTTTAATTTTTCTCCTTCTTTGCCAACACGCTGATATATCCTCCCAGTGCTGTCATTCAGTAATCTTCTCATCCCTGTAATTTGTTTTTTAATTTCCATGCTTTCATCTCCTAATGGAAACAAGGCCAAAGCATTGGAAATTAGCACAAAGAAAAAAATAGGCCACTACCAAACAACAATACAAAACAACTGTTCTTTTGGAATGGGCAAGAATACTGATTTCCTAAATTTAAGTAATTCATAGTAATTAAAGGCAAGAAAATTGACTATCATCTGAAGACACTGCACACAGTCCCGAGGTATCCCAATGTTAATCTCCTTCTGGCCACACTTTCCTTAGGGACACATTCGATGCCCTTCTTGGAAGAAATTTCTTAGAGTATTACAAGAAAATTGGCTGAGAATAAAGACAAGGATGGGATGTGAGGGGCAGGGTCCTCTACTCAGCTGGAGCCACACAAAGGTATGAGGAGATCAAGGCCAGGCAGGTGATTAGCACTGATGATTCTGGTCACTCATGTGTTAGCTTGGAAGGCAAGCACCCAAACACAGAAGAATGCAGGCTATTTGCTGGGACAGGAGCCTTCTAAGAATGGCTTTAGGGTACATCAGGAGTGCTACTGACAGCAGATGTCCTCCAGGATGATATCATGTTCAGAGAGCACAACAGGACACCAAGAAGCATGCTAAATGCTAAGGAGGACTTTGTAGTTCTAGTGCCCTGACTCTATCACACCATCCTGAGGGGGTCCCTGGGGTCCCACCTACCTACTCTAGGTAACCAGCTAGATGAGCCCTGGATGTGTGGAAATGCAGCCTCCCCATTTTGCACCCAGCTAGAACCAAACCTAGCACCTGGACCTGTCCAGCCCAAACTGCCTGTCACTTTCCCTACACCAACTCTGTAACTTCATGAGAAGGCAAGCGATTATTTCTAAACCCACTTCACCTAATGCTGACTTTTTAAGATCATGGCAAAATATACATGATACATGACATGAAACTCATCATCTCAACCATTTTTAATGCATGGTCCAGAGAAGTACATTTTTATATTATTGTGCAACCGACCTCCAGATATTGCTTATATCAGCTTCTTTATTTAGATACTCTTTCAGCCAGCCACAGTGTACATGCTTATAATTTCATTACTCTGAGAAGCTGTGGCAGCCTAGATAACTTAGTGTCTTAATGAGACCCCGTCGCAAAATTAAAAAAATTGAAAATGGCTAGGAACATAGCACACTGTGAAGATCCTGAGTTAAATTCCCATACTGCCAAACAACACCCTTCCCTGAAAAAAATAAATCAACAAAACAATAACAAAAAAAA